CTCGTTGCGAGACCGCTATATAGCGCGCTCGCGCGCGTCGTCGAATTAGCGTTAAATAACTATTCGCGATATTTCATTGCCTGTATACGGGCCCGAACGGTGGCGGCGGCGGCGGCTCTATGAATACGGAATTACCCGCGACAACCTAATCTTAAAATACGACAACCCGTCACGACGCATCGAAGGCAACGGTAAATCACGCTGGGCAATTTGTTGGCCCCACCTTGTGTAATATGTTCACAAGTCGAATTGCGTCCGCGTGATCAAGAAGGCGATTGATCTCCCACGATGCGCAAATAAGTACAGACACACACTCAGACAGAAACATAACGGTAGCAACCAAAAATTTTTTCTCAATGTAAAAATATGTATATCGATACAAATAAATGTGTTACTAGTATTCATCAAATAAATATTTCTTATTTTTTCGATATTTTTTCTCTTAGCATAACATAAAATATAGAAAAAGAAGTTGCGTTGATTCCTCAAGTTGTACGATATTCGCAGGATTAATGTAGAACCAAAATTTCGATTCGGGAGAAGATAAACTCGCACGAGTAAGAACACACACTTCCCGGAATGCGTGGGTATAATATTTACGCGCGATTACCGTTATGGTATTAATATAGCAGTAAGTAAAATCGAGTGCTAACTCGTTCGCCACCGTTTGCCCCGCCTTCGCTCGAAGATGTAAATTCTCGCCGCTTGATCCGGCTCATATCAGTTTTGTATGTAGAAATGTAATATACATATCCGAGTCAAAATTTCCGCCCTATTTTCAGCCTTATTATTTTATTCAACACTTGTTTTGATATTCTCAAATCTACGTCAATCTTTTTTGATTCTATTTAACCAGTTCGAGTCGAAGTTTTGATCTTACTTTCAGCCTCATTATTTCATTCAACACCTATTTTGATATTCTGAAGTGTATAATATAATAATCTATCTTGATGCTAAAGAAAGTGAAATGGGAAATTTCAGATATCATCAGAGTCAAAATAGAGGTAAATTGTATCGTTAGAATTAAACCTACTTTGTTGACTTAGTTCCTACTACGTTGTAGAATTCAAAGTTTAAGGTAGGGCCAAAATTTCGACTTAAATAGACTTGAGTAAATTATATAGATTAATTTTGAATATAAAAAAACCTTGTACAGTTGTCACCTGTGCAGTTGTGATCTCTTTTTCTCGAAGCAAATAAGCCGAATAGCATTCGCATGATTCACACGGTCGAGCAGTGTTACGCGAGTGGGCGACGCGGCGTAACATCTCGATCGTCGTCGTCGATCGAGAGTCTCGGAGAGTTCGATGGGGTTTTCTGAGGGAAGAAATGACCGTGTCCCGCTTTCGAGGTCGACGGGTGTGTTCGTTTTGTTCTCGGACAACATGGAGTAGCGTAATACACAAGGTTTCACAGAGATCATGTCGAACATGAAGCAACGCGCGGTGAAAATATCGCATTTTTAACATAATCTATGGGATTTGCGTTATCATTTTCATTTGACTGGCGCACGCCTCGCTGCGCGAATTAAAGGAGCGCAGGGAGATTAACGTGACTGAGGAGCGACGGGTCAGGCATCGAAAAAGTGCACGAGAAGAAGAAGCACGGCGGAGAATCCGGCGTCGGATTATTAATACCAGCTTTGGAGGCGCTCTCTCTCTCTCTCTCTCTCTCTCTCTCTCTCTCTCTC